AGATTAACTGTGATTCTGTGTGTTTTCTTTGGATTAACCCATTATTTAGGTAACAATTTAAATTTGTTATTTCTTAGTTTCATATGCATCCTTACTTATTTCAGCATATGCATTTATGACTTTGTAGGTTGGACTAGTTGTATATGATTCTCAAGTTCCAGTTGGTGCCACTCCTGAGTATATGGCTGGTCATTACATGGTAACCTGACTTGCTTACAGTTTCTTATAACTAACTTGTTTACAAGACATATTTGCTCTAAATATGCAACTGTGATACTTATTTCTAATAATAACTTGCTTACAGCTCCAAAGTGCAAGCTCTTTTCTGCCTGTAATGGCCCTTGCCCCCCAGGAGAATGAACGTGTCGTTGATATGGCGTAAGTAAATAACTTATTTTCTAAATAATGTTAGCTTCAATTGTCGATCATTGAATTTCCACCTATTCAGTTCTTTATCAATATTGTTTTCAGATTTATTATCATTTCATTTTCTTATATGTATTAGTAAGAATTAACAAGTTTGATTGCTGAAAGAGTTGTCTAGTCCATACTTGGATAGTCTAGGATAAAGCTAATAGAAAAAAACAAAGCATCTGCTTTTCCTCTTTCTCTTTTAATTTCTTTTCTCTTTCTATAAATCAGCAGCTTTGTCGTAAATGTAACTTTGTCTGTCGTAGGTTCAAGTTATGCACCTAATATCTTTTCTTTTGGGAGGAAAGCTAAAGCAATTTCTGCCATCTTCTTACTAGTTAGTTCAGTTAGCAGAAAAGTGAAATTTTTGTTAGCTTTTGTTCTCCTAAAGTGGGTAATTTTTTCATGGTGTAGTGCTGCTCCTGGAGGCAAAACAACTTATGTTGCTGCACTGATGAAAAATAGTGGTATGTATTCATTGTGCAGTTAATCATGTTGTATATTTTTCTTGTGAAGGAGTCCATTTTATCCACAATGCATCCATACTTTCTGGATACAGATAGGAGAATGAATTTGAATACATCTGGCTGCCCTGGTGTCAGTATTGATTATCTCCATTTCCTTGTAAAATAATTCATTGCTTTCCATTTCTTGTCCTGCTAATTTCTAATGCAGTTTACCAAAATATACTGGATGTTTTCATTCTATTTTACTCTTTGCTCATGTACATCATTCTTGGTAAAAAAACAGTACTTGGTAAATAATAACCTGCATTATCAATTTGTTTGCTTCCTCCAGTTGTCACTCCTGATTGTCTGTCTTATATACTTACTGTTGCTTGTCCTAAGATTTTGTGACATATTAATGTTTGCCATGGTATTTTTCTAACTTCTCTCTGGTTCTGCTTTTGAAGTTACTGTAAATAATGCTATCTTCCAGATTAGTGCTTAATAGCATTTGCCATTTCAATCATTGTCTGAATGACACCGACATATTTTACCTTGAAAAACTAGGTATTATTTATGCAAATGAGATGAAGGAGTCAAGACTTAAATCTCTCACTGCCAATTTACATCGCATGGGGGTAACAAACACCATTGTCTGCAACTACGATGGAAGAGAGGTTTGAATTGGACTATTTTGCAATCTTCCCTTTAGAACTAGCACATTTTTATTTTTTCTGTATTTCATATGGGAACAATGTCCTATTTTATCCTCCATTATGAGCACTCATGCTTATTGACTGAAGTAGGTCTTTACTAATTTCATCGAGCTACAGGCATTGATCTGACAAGATTTTGTTCTTGTGTTTCTGTTTCCTGGTTTACATTCTTAATGATGATATGGACGAAGTCCTCTGATCTAATACCTTGTTTGGGGGATCATTTCAGTTGCCTAAAGTTTTAGGTCAGAACACTGCTGATAGGATTTTGCTGGATGCTCCCTGCAGTGGCACTGGGGTATGTGGTAATCTTTTATATATATGCTTGGCTTAGATCAAGTTTAAACCATGAATGTTGTTCTTTCTGCAGGTAATCTCCAAGGATGAGTCTGTTAAAACTTCCAAAACTGCACCTGATATACAAAATTGCTCACAACTGCAGAAGGTATGAGTTAGATGTGTAAATTTGGTGATTTTGTGTCATCCATATTTATACACTTGCAACGATTTGCGCTGTGGGAGGATATCATGAAAATTTCCATGAATTAGTTGGGTGCTTCAGAGCTTGTCATGATTCATAACAGAACACCACAAAGTATATTGCAAGCATCTAACTTCTCAGGCTGTTTGAAAATACTGGTTTCTGAAAGTCTGCATTCTGGGAGAGATTAAGCTGCATAAAGAATTGGTCTTTATCTTATTTGTTTCTAATGATTGATTCCGTTGATATTAATTGTTGTATAGGAGGACACATTTTGCATTTCTAGTTGTCTTATCGCCTTTCTTTTTTTAATGTGTTGTTATATGTGTCCTCCCAAAGCAGGAAGGTGTTGGTGATGGTATTGGAAGCAGTGTCAATTTTGCTCCATGATGAATCTTTTCGTCACATATTCCCCTATTCACATATTGTTGTGGCCTTTGAGAAACGTGTTTTATCGTCAATTTTCATTTGCAGGAACTAATACTTGCAGCAATTGACATGGTTGATGCCAACTCAAAATCAGGTGGATACATTGTGTATTCGACCTGCTCCATTATGGTTGAAGAGGTATCTTTCTTTACATATATTTCCAAATGAATTCTCAAAAAAGCTGGTGCTTTGCAAAGTATTCAACTCATTTGTCTAACTTGGAACTGCAGAATGAAGCAGTTATAGATTATGCACTCAAGAAGAGAGATGTTAAGCTTGTGCCATGTGGACTTGATTTTGGGAGGCCTGGGTATAACTTTTATAGTGTATGTGCATTTACTTGAAAGGCTGTCTAATTCTACAACTAATTAAAGCTGTCTCTCCCAGATTTATTCGGTTTAGGCAGCACCGTTTCCACACATCTTTGGACAAGACAAGGCGATTCTATCCTCATGTGCACAACATGGATGGATTCTTTGTAGCCAAGGTATGCCTTATTATTTATAGCTGCGAAGCAATTGCTTTATTTAAGAACTTATGTTTATTGAACTAGAGATGACTATAGAAAACAAGGATGTGAAGTATCAAGTTGAGAGAGTTCGAATGGAGGCTTCAGAGTCCTACTTATGATGGTCATTATTCTTAAAATTGATTACAGTAAAGTGCTAAGTGAAGTACAAAATGATTTATTTCTGTTCTTTTATTCCATTGGAAAAAAATGCAGGAGAACAAGTCGCATTAGTTATTCTGACTTAGCATATCATTGAATTGTCCTCTGAAAGTCATCTTTCTTTTTTCTCGAAATGATTTTTCCCTTTTGTCCTGCTTGGTTTACATTGTGTTGGCCATACACAATAAATATCATTCAACCCTATACACATGAGGTTTTGTGTGCTTCTCTTCAGTTCTCATGCTTCTGTACTCGTATAAAAATCTAACTTCCTCATGTCAAACAAACATTTCATCTTTTCATTAAGCTTGTGGAACTTGAAATGATTAATGATTTTCTTACTTGTAAGATATATAGAAGAATCCAAACCCCACTCAAGTGAAGACTACACTGGGTAATAGAAGAAATTATTATGGTTTCTGGGACTAAAAAATGAATTGGGACTGGCACATGTGGTTGTAAAAACAAATGAAAGATTATAAACATATTTCTTCTTTGGAGTTGCTGCAAGTTTGTTTCAGTAAAAACATTTTGCCTCATATGTCTTGTTTCTTTTTCAGTTGAAAAAGATGAGCAATTCTAAGTCTGCTGCTAAATCGTCGGTTCAGTCTGAAGAAGTAGAAGGTGCTGAAAGCATTGAGAACAGTGACCAGCAGGATTCTGAAGAAGATGATGACAAGCATTCAGATAAAAAAGGCATTGCAAATGAGAATAGGAAATTGAAAGAGGAATTAGCAGGTGATAAAAAGAGGAAGAGGGATGTCCAAACACATTCAGTTAAGAAAGGTGCTGGACAAAACAGCGGTGCAACTAAAAATGGAAAAGCAGAAAACCAAGTGGTGGCAACAAAAAAGAGGGAAAAGAAGAAACCCCTTCCTAGAGAGGAAATTGCAAAAGCTAGGTACTATTTGTAGTTTCACTATCACGAGTTGTTAAACACTCTGACGTGCTAATGGAACAGAGTTAATTTCAGATCATATAACCTATTATTATCTTCAACATTTTTACAGGGAAGAGAAGAGGAAAGCCCTTAGGGAAGCTACACGAAAAGCCACGATGAAGAACAAATGAGGTCTGGTGATACGCCAGAGGATATTTTACCAGAGGCGACATGAGCAAACATAAAACAAGAGATTCTCTGGTGATTTTGTCAAGCTCACCTCGCATATAATTAGCAGCTGCCAGCTAGTTGCAATATTTTTGTTATTGGTTGATGGATGACTTTGAGTTGAAGAGGGCTGGAGGTCGTGTATGATTTGCTTTAGAAAACAACTTAGGATTCATGTTTTGCATGCATCCAAAAATTTTGTATTATACTTTTAATTTACTTGGGAGTGAGCAATGAAAATTATGAAGGGAAAAGGTAGTTTGTATTCCATCATCTATTTCAATCCTCTTCTATCATATCTTAAGCCAATGAAAATTATTAAGGTAAAAGGTAGTTTGGAGTAAGCTTATGTTATGATTTCCCCAAGTATCTCTAGTTTACATCTTATGAGGTTTTGCAAGTATTGATCAACGAGGTATCTACTCAATCATCACATCCAATTTTAAGTATGCTATAGGTCTCAATAAAATAAAACACGCATATTTGGTTCAAGATAAAATAAAGGTACAATGGAAATGACATGTCTAAACAAAATTTCAACTTCAAATCAATCTAATTTTGAAGTCCAAACACCGCGTAAGATAAAATAGAAGGGACCAGGTCAGCTATCAACTGACTGAAGGCTCAATTTGTAACACATGGACACTATTCCTTCGAAGCCTATTGTAAGTTATCTGACATATTTAAGATTGTGAAGAAACTCTCCAGAATAATAACAGAAAAAGTTCAAGCATAGTCGTAAAGCATTCAACAGAGAAGTTGAACTTGCAAAGCAGCTTCAAAAGATAGTTATTCCACATGAAAAAACAGACAGCCTATTTTAAAACCTAAAACAAAGAAAAGAAGATCATGAACAATTACAACCATTCCAAACTTCATAAACTCGACACACAGCAGACGACCATAAGCAGAAAAAGAAAGCACTGAAAACCACCAAATTCATGTTCCAAATGGCGCACGCCTACACCAAAATCAAGTCCGCCTCACCCGTACTCAAACATCTCTTCACCTTCAACTTATTCAAGAAGCCTTCTCCGAATCTGCATAATGAGGACAGCTTAGGAATCAACAATGTCATCAATAAGAGTGAGTGAAAACATGATTGATGCTAATTTAATGGAAGGAAAGGGCATTGTTTATATCTTTCACAGTTGCCTCCTTTGAGGCATCATGTTCCTCTAAGGAAAAACTTGTGTCCAACAAAGATCAGACATTTCCCAAACTCTGGAGTTGTTTAGTATTTTCATCTTTACAGTAAATCATTTACCTCACTATTTAAATATTAATACTACATAATATTTGTTCCATCTTTATCTAAAGAAAAAGAAAACGACAATAAGAACTTTATCTGCATGGTGACCTTGCAGAACACTTGGTGGTGCGCTAAAAAACCATATAGAGCATCAGCTACAAATCTTTTATTACAGAAATAGGAATGAGTGTCAAACCCACTACACCTCTCACTTGTCAGAAAAATGAACCATGCAAGAAGTAACAAATTCAGGAGCTGGAAATTAACGCAATTCATGGAGATCACATGATGTCAAGGTTCATACCAGAAAGGGGTCAAAAGCCTGGTTTTCAGCTAGAGTACATCCAAAGCCTATGCTAGATTGTCAGTGCTGAAGAAGCATTGTTTTCAAGTTGAATGGTGGAATCAAAGTCACCTTACTGCAGTTATTTACATCAAGTTATCTTCTCACAGATTTAGCATATCAGGACTGATTTTTCAACAGTGTACACATACAGAAGATGCCAAGGTAAGTCTATCCCTAAGATGCTAAAACTTGAGTACTTCCACAAGAACCTCAAAGCAAAGAATATATTTCATTGAAATGGCCATGGTTTATAAGCTATTCCTGAATCCTGACATAAGCAAAAGAACAAATAGAATCTAGTTTCTAGGTTTTCATATATCTACCAGAAAAGAAAAAAATCAAAATACAATTGTTAAACCTTCTTTTGGAGCTCATATCAAATCCTTCTAGCCAGTTCTAATTTTTTTTTTGAAATTACTCTAGCCAGTTCTAATTTTCCGCAAAGAAATGGTTCAAAAGTCGAGATTTCACAAGGACAAAGTAGAAAAACCAACAAAGAGAACTCAACTTCTTTATAACCGAGAAATCTTAAGAGGATCAGCAGCGTACAGTTCGAAATTCGTTGGATAATGGACTTACCCATCTACCCTTCACTTAAGTACCAGGCTTTTGTCTGTAGTAGGGTTCAAACCCATAATGTGAGCCTAATCCATACAACATGAGCTGCGCTCTTACACTAGATCAACGCCCTGGGGCCAAGAGATTTCAACTTACTTACTTCACGAGGTTCACCCTGCTCTACCAAGTACCATTCCCTAAATTTTAGGGCCAGCATTTTCTCTTTCCACCTGTATCAATCGCCACCCACTAAACCTCATCCCTTCGCTCTACTTGTTGACACTATTTCCACCAGAAACCGTGCACTTGTTTACCTTTCTTCCTCTCTCTCATCTACAAGTAATTGGACCCTAGGTGAAAAAGCTTCTTTCGCTAGGTAACCTAGGGGAACAAGTTACCCAATAGCAGCACATGCAGGAATAATGGTATTTGAGGATAGTAAAAAGCCCCACTAAAGCATATCTAGAAATGAAGCTGACTTTCAAAGAGTACTACTATCATTAACCAGAACAAGACTGTTGTATTTTCCAAAAGAACTAACTAGGACGATTATTCATATGAATTTTGTCACAAACAAGTGAAACAACTCATATGTTACAGATGTATACCACAAAATGCTTCACAACTGATAAGTTACTTACAACTAACATCTATCAACTATGCCAAAAGCCAAACAACTGATTCCATAGGCCAAAAAGGGAGAAATACCCAAACCCTGCTCAATGGCTACAACTACACAAAATTCACCTAACATAAATACATTACTCATCTAATCAACAATCATCCTATGATAACGAAACAGAAATAATATTTGACATGGCATTACTTACGACTAACTAAGCTGATTGAAACATCAAACTAGAGTCAACTCACTTCCTAGCTGATAATCAAACATCTCGACCGAGTAATTACAACAGACCACTTTCACATATCTAAAAGCACACAATAAAAATCAAAGATAAATGTCTAAAAGCATAAACCCTTAAATAAAGTCACAACCTTTGAGGCAGTACTAATCATCCAATCATTTAAACTAATCATCCTGGTATTCCTTTGATCAAACAAAGACCACACATAATCAATGTCTACTTGCAAAGAAATAGAAATTGTGATCTGAAGATATATATACCTGCAGTTTTATCGGAGGCATCATGGTATATAGGCTCCTCCTCAGGCACAGGGTGAAGCACATCTGTGACCAAGTCATTGCCACTAGTAGCATCTTTATCATCAGGATATCTAACAACAACAACAGGGCAAACACAATGATGCACACAGTAATCACTCACACTACCAAGCATCCCTCCTTTAGGGCTACGCCTTGATGCACCAAACCCTCTACTCCCCATTATAACAGCACTCAAACCCAACCTCTCAACTTCCAAACACAACCTTTCCTTCATATCATGATCCTTCACAATATGAATCTTGAATGGAATATTAGCCTCCACAAGTGGCTGTGCTAAATCATTAGATTTCGTAGTTGTGAAGTTATCAAAATCATCTTCCAGTTTCCGCTGTGATTCTTCATTTTCAGTGTCAACAGAAACATCAATAGCACCCCAATCAGCTCCATAAAGTACCGAAGTTGGACGGACGTGAAGGAGTATAACGGCGTCACCTGGTCGGAGGTAATTTTGCACAGCCCATTTGACGGCATAAGCACTTTCATCGCTAAGATCGACGGCGATAGCGACCTTCCGGTTAGCTCCGGAAGTGGGAGTTCCTAAATGGAAACGAGGAGATGCCGGTTGGTGCATGATCGCCGTGAGTGTACGGTCGGATTCTGGTGGTGGCTTTTTGGGTGATGTCATCATGGTGTAAAGAGATAAATACAAAATGGGTATTGAAGAATTCAGAGAGTTATTGTGTATTTTGTGATGTTCGAATCCGATTCCACAGTGTGTATCGTTGAGTTCTTCGGACCTTTGGGAAGAAGAAAGGTTACAGGAATTAGCTGGAATTGAGTGTACTGGAGGTTTTTTTATTTTTTTTTTATTTGAGAAATGGTCAATAATATATTGACTTTTTTTTTTTGGGCTAATCTTATCCAATACAATAATACACTTGAATAGTACTGTATTTAATTATTTTCCTTAATTGGTGTCCAATATTTTGTCCTTATCCCATCTCTTTGTTAATAATATCCAAAAAAAGAAGAAAAAAAACAAATGATGACCAACTAGAAAAGACTCAAAAGAGGTAATAGAAAGAAAGAAATTTGAAAATGAATTGTTTCATTGTATGGGATACGTTTAATTGGTGAACTAGGATATAGAACTAAAGAAACTTTGTTGAGCTTTATGACATTTTGGACAACGTTGACTAACGAGTTGTTGCTTTGAGTTCGGGGATTAGAAATTGATCTAATTTTTTTTAATTATATTTAAGATTTCAATTATAACCATCGAACTCATCATTTTGGTTGAGTTATCAGTTAATAGCTCAATTATTTAGTAATTTTATTGAATTTTATACTGAAAATTCAAAATTAAGATAAAAGTTATGAATTCAATTGAACCTCAAACGGCTAAATTCGCTCTTGAGCAACACTACCATTGATGAATGATAGCTTTCAAGTGTACATTTTGATTTTAGCTATGAAGATGATATATCATTATTTTATATTTCGTGGATTTGTTATACTAATCAAGCAAGTGAGGAATATGCGGAAGGAAAAACATGTTTAAAGATATGAAGTTATAGATGAAATCAAAATCTTAAAATGAGGAGTATTAAAGATAGTGTAGCTTATATAGGTTATTACGTTTATGCAATGAAACTTTAACGCGCGTTGAATCAATGTACCAAATCTACTATTTTTTAAGGTACCTAACAAAATATTTGATTATTATTATATATATATATATGATCAAAGTTAACAAATGCATATTTTTTTAAAAAAATGCAAAGGTACATATACGCGTGTAATTCCACCCTCCTATCTATGTGATGTTAGAGGGCATGTGTTTACAAATTAATGCAAATAAGTGTGTCAACTTATTTATTAATCCTAAAGTAAATTATGGGATTCAAAAAAATAAATATACATGGATCTAATTATGTTTATGATTTAATCACTTGTTCGTTAATAATCTTCAAAATAATAGAGTATATATCATGATTTTTGTTAAAATTAATTTGAGCAAGTTTTTTTCTTGAAATAGAAAAGAAATACTCCTAGGAAAAGAAAAACAAAAGTAAATCATAAATGAATTAGGAAATGGATTATCGAAAACAAGGAAAAAAGAGCAAGCTACGTGTACAAATATTTTGTCACCGCCAAGTGACGCTATAAATCCCTTAGGAAACCCGACGACAGCTACTAACCCGATTGGATAATCCACTTCATAGGGTTTTTCTTTTTCGTTTTCTCCCCCAAATTCACAAAAATCGTCTTCAAAATTCAGGTGAATTATAATTAGGGTTTTGAAAGATGCCGCAGAGACACTCGAAGAACAACAACGATCTCGCCTTCTTTACCTACGATGAGAAGCGAAAGTTAGGGTACGGAACACAAAAGGAGAGGCTGGGCAAAGATTCAATTAAGCCGTTCGATGCTTGTTCCCTTTGCTTAAAACCCTTCATCGATCCGTTGTGTTGCCAGAAAGGGCATGTCTTTTGCAAAGAATGCATTCTAGAATGCCTTTTGTCCCAGAAAAAGGATATCCAAAGGTGCCTATTTTCTGTCCTTTGCAAACTTTCTCTCAATTGATCTTTTTGTGGTTTTGAAAGGAAATGATATTATATATGAATTGCCGATTTTTTTTATGCTTAAGGTGCGTTTTGTATGAAATTATATGTCTTGGTGCTGAGATCATGTGGTTTGCTTGATTTACTTTGTTGTGTGCCCAGGTTTGTAAGATTGTGCTTGTGAATTCTATTTCAGCTGTGAAATAGTAATAATAATAAAAAAAAAAAATACTATTTCAGCTAAGAGAAACTGACGATATCTGTGGTTCTTAATGGGGGAGTAATATGTGGAGGTTGGGTGTAAGTTAAATTTTCTGTGTAGATTGGTAAGAGGAACTCCGGAGATGTCTTTCTAATGTAGTGAGACTCGAAGTTTGGAAGGATACTGCAGCAAGTTTTGAAATTTTGCAACTACGAGAGTACGATGGCCATAGCTAGTGCTTTCATCTGTTCGACACCAAAACAGAGAATATCTCAGTGATTAAGAGACTCCTAATTTATGTCCTTAATATAGGTCTAGTTGGATTAGATTGAGTTGTATGATGTCTGCAGTTGTAGGCTAGTCTTATGATTCAGTGCATCTTGAAGAGAACCTATTGGATATATTTTAGTCTTTGTTGTGGTTGTGAATTGACCTCCGAACACACCATATAATCTAATGGATTTTGGTCTAGAGGCAAATATATCCCAGAACTTATGGATAGGATACTTGACTTGCAAACTGTACTTGTAGGCTGTAGCCCCAAGGTTAACATAAAAACTATTTGTGTTCGATTCCTCTTATGAGGCCAGAGTCTCCTGCACTTTCTAACGGCAATAATTTGGTGGCGTGGTTAGTTTTAAGAAGGGTACTGTCATTTTTCAGCTTCTTCTTTAATGCTATTCTTTACTATTACCAAAATACAAATATGCAAGTACCACAACTATGACTGAATCCCAAGCAGGGGAGTAAGCTATATGAATCCTCAGGGTCCATGTTACCTTCCTAAGTTCATCTCAGTCCAATACTAATAAGCAAGTCAAAAAAGAAAAAGAAAGAGGGTACTACTGAATTTTCATGAGCCACTTTAATGTTTGCCTTCTATTATTATAATGATACTAATACACAAGCCAAAATTAATTCCAATCTCCAAGTCCAGTTATTGTGTCCATAAAGTAGTGGATGAAAAGAGTGTTAATTATAGACTAGCCAATAAAGAGGTCTTCGTACTGACTTGTGGAATACTTGTTTGGAATCCCTTTCAAGTGAAAACTGCAGCCTTTCTGAGTAAATAGTTACTTATTCTTAAGTTGCAATGCTTGTTGTTAGTTACTTCTATTAACAAAACAGTTGCCCGTCTTCCACCTGGAAGGAATAACACTGACTAATATATCTTCCAATCTTGCTTCATGCCTGCATTTCTCTGGAAAAGGAGAAAAGGGCAGTGTGGAGTGGAAGAAAGGGGTGGGGATTTGGTAAACATTCTTGTTTGTAATCTTAGAATCATCCTTTGTGAAGTTTTATTTGACAAGCTGTTACTTTGTGTTGCAGAAAGTTAGCTGCTCATACTGGTCAGCAGAAGCAAGAAAAAGAAGAGGAAGAGGAGAGGTTGATGCTGCAGAAAGCCAGGGAGCTTGATGCATTTGATCAACAAAATCATGGTCCAGTTCCGCAGTACAATGATAAGAACTACAACAGAGACAAGAATGGATTCCATGGGGCCAACAGCGTGAAGGCCACTTCTTATGAGGAAGAAGCACTTAGAACCATGAAAGCATTTTGGCTGCCCTCTGCAACACCAGATGCACCTGCTAAGGTGGAAGCCCCATCCACAAGCACAACTTGTCCTGAAGGGAGGGAAAAAATTAAGATGAAAAACCTTTTCCCTATACACTTTACTGAAGATACAAGTGCACAGAAGAAACACAAGTCTCTTGACAAGAGTTTCATATGCCCCAGTTGCAAGGTCACACTGACCAATACATTGTCACTTGTGGCACTTAATACTTGTGGACATGTCTTCTGCAAGAAATGTGCAGAGAAATTTGTGGCTGTTGACAAGGTTTGCGTGGTCTGTGACAAACCATGTAAAGATAGAAATCTGGTGAATGTGAAAAAGGGAGGAACAGGATTTGCTGCCCATGGAGATAATCTTGAAGCAAAAGACTTCAAACACTTGGGGAGTGGAAGTGGTTTGGGCCTGGTGAGGCCTGCCATGAAGACGTAACTTGCTGTATACGAGTTTGCTCATTAAAATAGTGGGGCTTTGTTACGGTGTATTGTAATATGGTATATCATCTTCTACCCTGAAAACTGAGTGTTTTCTTACATCGTCTTTATTCAACTACAGCTCTGCGAAAGCAACTTCTGCAACTTTTATCCTTTCCAATTCACAAGTGTTATTTCATTAGATAATTGTTTGAAACTTGTTCCTCAAGTGGTTGCTGCTGCTGCTGCTATCGATAGTTTTGCTACTTCTTTTTTGGGTGCAATACCCCCATTCAACCTCGGAACTAGATGGAACTTATTCAAATAAACTCTGTAAGTTATGGGGTTGATGAGTGGTGCGGGGTGGGAATTTGACTTGTTCTGTGATAGACTGTTGTCAGCTCAAATTTAAACCATTTTTTTGTTTTTAACAGTAACTCGTCTCCAAGGGGTTTTGGGCAAGGGAGGGAGGGATTTGAGGGTCTAGCTTTTTGTTGCCTTTATATATACCGAGTAAGATATTGTTTTCACGAGGACTATTAATTAACTACAAACCTAACGATAAAACTATATGCTAAGTACTTATTTTAGTGATTAGCTTAGGTTTTTTTCTTTTGCTGAGAGTCCTTTTACTTCTTGTTACACCATCTCCAACCCACCTCTATTTTGCTCTCCATTCTCTATATTTGGAGAGTAAAATAGAGAATGGGCACTCCAACCCACCTCCAAATCACCCTCTATTTTTCAAATTTAGAGAGGTGAATGTATTAACACTCTCTATTTCACTTTTTCATTATTTTATTATTATTTCTATTTACTTTCTAATTAACACATTATTTTACATATAATTCCATTAATTAAATATCTAATATTCATAATTCTTTTTTAAATGTAATATAATATTTTTAAAAATATTATTTAATATATACTATTTTAATTTCAAATTAATAATTTTTTTTTTCTAATTTTCGTGAATAATAAAATTTTATTTTATTATTAATTTTAATTATAAAGAATACGCAAAATTAAAATGGCAGGATGAAAAAAATTAATTTAAAAAT